GTATCGAATAGAAGAACTAAGCTTTCTGGAAAACTCGACACTCGAACTTTGTCCACCTAGTCGGTCGGGACCGGTATTTGGTGGAATATTCTAGATGTTCCGATGGAAAAGGCATATTTAAAGCCGTTGCAAGCCGCGATTGGGGCAGTATTGAATTGGCGATACGAGCGAACCTTTCGCAGCGAAATAAAGTGAACTAAAGTGTTAAGTGTGATTAATTATTAGTGTGATTTAAGTTTTAATTGGTGTTCAGTAATTAAAGTGTCAATTTTGGTAATTCAATTGGCAGTTTTTATTGTCACGAATCCTAAGCTCGAAACAATATCATTACATCCGTTTTGAAACTCCAAATATGTTTGATGATTTAGGAACCAGAGGAGATTATGAATAGTTCGCCCCCCACAGGAAGTGAAAAATTGATTGAATGTAATAAAAAAATAATAAAATAAAATAATAAAAATGTTTTATTTCGGTAAATCATTTTACAGCTATTTGCCGAGGCCTCCCAGAAAGTAATCATAAGATACTTGTGTTGGGAGAGTCTCGCTCTTCCTACGTAATCGTATCAACTTAGATTTACATCAGAAAAAAAAATATAAACATTTTAAACTTAATATTACAGTTATTCATGCATTTTAAAATGAAAGAAAGAAGCTTAGGAGAAATGTATACCTAAGAGTATAGAGCCACTCGGTTTTTCTACACTCAAACATTTGCATTGGGTAAATTTTAAGTAAGCGGTTGATCTTGTTATAGGCATGAGGAGCTTGAGATATATTTTGTCGAGTGGCAAATACTGTACGTGCAGGGTATGAGGGAGCCACGATATCGCACCGCCTTTTCGTAAGTTTGGTATGGCTCAAATGGTGATGTTTTGTGATATCTTAGTATCATGTGTAAAATATAAAATTTTCTAACGGAGAGCAGCTTAGATGTTCGGTATAGGGTTTCGGTGGAAAACCTATAGGGCCTACAGTACATTACCTTAATCAAGGATCTTTGCGCCCTTTCTAAATCTATAAAGTATGATTTAGCTGCTCCTCCCCATACGATATGCAGTAGATTATTACAGACTGGGCTAGTGCGATATATATTTTATTCAGTAGCTTGGTACTCATCACGTTTCTCAGAGATTTGAAAACCCACATGAGCTTCCTTACCCTCCCAATTGTTAGTTCTAGGTGTGGATACCAACTTAATCTTTGATCCACAATGATTCCGAGGTATTTAACACAACTAACTTTCTGAATTACAGGGCAATTACATGTGTTGGGGAAAGGCGTACCACAGGAATGAATTTTGATTTCAAAATTAGGTGACGGCTGCGAATTAATATATGGAGCGAAGCATACATAATTCGTTTTTTGAGTGTTAAGAATAAGGAGATTCTCACTTAACCAGTGCCAAACTCTGCCTAGTCCCATCTCAGCCCCGATCCTAATTTTATCCCAGGTCTTAGCGGTGAAAATAATAGCGGTATCGTCCGCATAGGACAGTATCCTCCCTCCAACGTTACCAAGGTTACAGAGATTATTAATATATATCAAAAAGAGGGTTGGGCTGAGAACACTGCCCTGCGGTACACCAAACGTTACATTTTCTTCTTCACTTATTAGTTTATTTATTTTTACACCCTGCTTTCTGTTTTGAAGGTAGCTGCTGAGAAGGGAGAGAGCAAATTCACGAAATCCGATACTTTCTAGCCTTCGTATAAGAATGGGGACAGAAACGGTATCAAAGGCCTTCTTGAGGTCAAGAAAGGTCACTAAACATTTGTTACCTTTGTCTACTTCTTTTGTTATAATGGATGTAAGATCTGTGATAGCATCCTGTGTCGACATTCCCTTCCTAAAACCATATTGCGAAGGATGCATTAGGATGTTATACTTGGTCAAGTAGCTCACTATTCTAGAGTTCAAGAGCTTCTCAATGATTTTAGAAATGGAGGCCAACACAGAGATAGGTCGATAGTTGTTTACGTCGTCCCTATCTCCACTCTTATACACAGGGGTCACGATGGAGCGCTTAAGAAGGTATGGGAAGTTTCCTGTGCGAAAACACAGGTTAGCAAGGTCGGTAATCAAAGGGACAAGGATATCCTTACTTCGTTTTAGAAAAAAAGTAGGGATTCCGTCCCAACCTGGTGCACTCCCAGAGTCCAAGGACATTAAGGTATTTTCCACTTCCTTGCAAGATGTTTCTAGTAAAACAAAAGAGGAATGATGATGGTTATCAGAGTTAGTAGTTTCCGAAGTTATGAAGCTATTTGAGATGTTCTCAGCTAGTGATTGCCCAATGTTGACAAAGAATTTGTTTACATGGTTGATTGAGGTTTGCGGACAAGATTTTATATTAAGTAGGTCGTCATTTGGGCTCTTGGGTGGCTTATAGTGGGTGATTTCGTTAATGGTTAACCAAAGAGCTCGAGGGTTTTGTACCGATGCTTTAATTTTTTCTTTATTATATTTATTTTTAGTTTTTTTATAAGATTTCCACAAAAAGTACGATAACGTCTATATGTTGTTACTTCACAGGTATTTTCTAAATTTCATACCGACACTCATAATCTAGAACCAGAACCAATGAACATAAGTGAAAATTTAGCTCCATCCACAAATTCAAATTGCGCTTTAGATAATTTAGGTATACATAAGTGGGAATAAAAATTAGTTAAAGCTCAGAAGCTTTCTAGAAAACGTATACTGAAAATCAAATCTCTCCTGCAAAGATCGTGTAGGCTTAAAAAGAAAAACATAACCTTAAATGATAGATTGAAAGAGATCCTAAACAAAGAAAATTTAGGAAACGCATTTGGACGCAGTAACTTCATATCTAACGTCTATTTTCTAAGAACGTATAATAAAGTATATACGCGTGAATGCTATAATTCAAATGCCTTATAAACTTCGTCTGAATTCTTTTAATTTGTTGTTTAAGCGTAATACCTATACCTAATAGGGAGAACAAATACTACTAGCGTATTAAACACTTTTGCAGTTTATTTATTTATTTAAAAGGTACACCAACAGTACATGTATACATATTATAAGAGTTACATTTACAAAGTACATTCCTTACACAATATTATATATATATTCCACGACTCGTTTATTAAATTTAAACGAAAACTGGCCGGCCCTTTGTAAAGAGGCATTTGTTCTTAGTTGCAACAACAAATGCCTCTTTTATATATATATATATATATATATATATATATATATAAATTTTAAAACAATTAAATAGTAAAATTCACCAAAAAAAACTAAAAACTTAACTAAGAACATGCTGGGAGTTTTTGGAAAATAGTATATATTTTACTTGAACATTACGAGAGGAGAGAAGTTTAGAGGGCAAGGCAAAGGTTTTTTTGATAGGATGTCGGGGTATACGAGCAGGCACCGTCAATTTAACACGTTCTAGGAGCTCATTACATTTTATTTTGCAGTTGACAAGTCCGTGCAAACACCAAATCCTGATCCCTTCGACGGCTACGCAACGAGTTCATTTTAAAAAAGGCAAGACGATGCTCATATGGTGACCGGTGTGACACGCCTTGCGTGATAAATGCTAGATGCCTAGTGAATGCATGCTGAATACCCTCCAAGCCTTGAGAGTGAACAGCATATACAGGGTTCCATGCCACGCTAGCGTACTCCAAGTTACTCGGGACCAAAACATTATATAGTTTTTTTCATGTGCAATTTAAACGGAAACCCGCAGTATTCGCCTAAGAAAACCAAGAATTTTCGAGGATTTATGTACAATATTGTTAATATGTGAAGTGAATTTAAGGTGCTTGTCTACTGTTACACCTAAATCTCTTATTTCTTCTACTTCAGTTAATGTTGAGCCGTTAATTTCATAAGTTGATGGGAAATGATTTTTCTTTTTTTGTGAATTTCATATGGTAGCATTTATCAAAGTTTAGGGTCATAACATTTGATTCACACCATGTGTGAATACTGTCTAAATCCTCCTGGATAAGTTTTATGTCATGGGAAGAATTGATTGCTCTGTAAATTTTTAAATCATCTGCAAATAAGCTGAATTTACAGATTTTTTTTTGTTCACCGCTATATCGTCAGTAAATATAAGAAATAGTAGTGGGCCTAAGTGAGAGCCCTTTGGGACTCCTGACGATGCAAAATATATATCTGACTCAAAACCCCCAACAGCAACAACCTGGGGTCCTATACTAAGGTAAGACCTAAACCAGTGAAGCAAACTACCATGTATCCCTTTCATTTGCAATTTTATTATTAAAGTAGTGCGTGATTTACTTTGTCAAAAGCACTGGTAAAATCTGTGTATACAGCATCAATTTGACTTCCACTATCAACCTCAATTTGAATTTCAATGTGCAATTTCAGAAATAAATGAGACCAAATTAGTCTGTGTTGAGCGGCCCCTGCAGAACCCATGTTGGTACTCAGTTAGTGAAGTATCTATGTGGCTAATAATTAGTGGATTAATCAGAGACTCAAACAATTTCGAAAATGTAGACAAAATGGAAATCGGCTGGTAGTATTTTACATTGCTTGTTTCACCTTTTTTTTATACAGGTACTATTTTTACTTTTTTCCATTCCTCGGGGAACACACCATCTCTGAGCGAACAATTGAAGATTTGTTAATGATTGAGACAAAAGAGATCCACAGGTCTTTATAAATAGAGGAGATATTTTATCAGGACCGGCTCCTTTCTATATGTCTAATCGTTTAATTGCTCATAAGGTATAATTTTCAGAAAATTGAACATTCGATAAAATAAGTGGCGATAAATCCTCTAAGTTGTGATTTGTTTTTTCAAAATTTGAACTGAACGTGGAAGCAAAATGTCTGGCGAAAAGAGTGGCTACTTCAGAACCAGATTCTGCAATGGAATCGTTTAATTGCATTTTTGAGGGAATAGTTGACTGGTTGCTACGTTTGTCTTTTATGTATTGCCAAAAAGATTTGACGTTACACGATATTCCATTCTCAATATTTGTCTTATAGTCACTATAGCACTTGTCCTCCGTAAGAGGTCATGTTCAAATTTGTCATGTGGATTACCATATTCCGATATCTGTCGCGTAGCTTATTTTTCTCAGATAGAAGTTTAATTAGGGTGCGGCTAAACCATTTGGGGTATTTACTCTTGGAAGGACGGCGCTTGGGGACAGATCTATCAATAATTAATCTTAGTTCATCATAGAATTTTGAAACCATTTCATTGACGTTGCTACAGCTCGAAAACCTCTCCACCCAATATATACACTCCAGGTCCGAGGCAATTTCCTCGTAATTTGCCTTATAGAAATTGTGGTCAGTTCGTTTCTTAAGCTGGAGATAAACAAAATTAGTTTTTGCAACGTTACTAAAAGATTAGGATGTTTATAGTCCAGCCTACTCAAGAGTTCTAGAGGCTCCGAGACATCAACACCGGGAAAGTTGCTCATAATGAGATCTAAGTATCTTCCGTCACTGTTTGGTATGTTGTTAAATTGACTAAAGTTGTTAAGAGACATGAAATCAACAAGACCGCATCCGAGAGTACTAATATAATTAGATGGAACCATTTGAGCAATATGATCATGATCTCTACTCCAGTTAATGAATCCTTGATTAAAATCGCCCATAATTAGAACGGGTTGGTTCGTAACGTTATCAACTTTGTCAAGGAAATATGTCAAAGTATCTGATTTAACTGGTGGAGGTAAATATACCGCGCAAATGGCAATATCCGAGGTAATATTCTTCACAGTTACTGTCCCATCGCTCAATACGAGCGGATGGAATGTTTCGCAATAATGATTTCTTATATTTACGCGAACACTACACATTGTAATAATACTAGTTTTTACGGAATTTATCGCGTATATTTAACTTTTTAAATACCCGACGTTTCGAACGCTTTACAGCACTCATGGTCACGGGTGGAACCGAGATGTTCAGCATCCATATGTCATTGTTAACCGCGGTTACATAGATTAAAATTTAACTTTTGTTCCGATCTATGCAGTATGAACTTATGGTATCTTGAAGTCTTGCAGTTGTATGCTTGGGTTGGGATTTAATTTAATTTATTATAGGATCCCAGCAGATGGTAGCACCCAGCCATCTTCTCTATTGAAATTAGGATGTTTTTTGATTTCAATAGCCTCGCGAATCATCCTTGGAAGGAATCGGTGTTCTTTAGCGAGGATATGCGGTCTATCAAATCTGATGTAGTGACGGGGGCGATCCTGTACGTGTTCACAGACTGCAGACCTCCCGGAGCGTCGATTATTCACATCAGCTATATGTTCTTTAACGCGGGTTTTTATTGATCTTTTAGTTTGTCCTATGTAGGAGAGACCACATTCACAATCAAGCTTGTACACTCCTGCATCTTGCAGAGGGACATTACACTTGACTGATGGTAAAAACTGACCAATCTTCTTCAGCGGCTTGAAGTATGTTTTGATGGAAGCGCGCTTCAAGATATAGCCAATCTTGTCAGTGACTCCTCTAACATATGGCAGTACAGCAGGTACACGCTCGACTGTGGCCGGCTTCACTCGTTCACTGTGACGTAGGCGCGGGACTCGAAGCTTGTTGTCATGCAAAACTTGCTTGACATGGTGGAGCTCGGCAGCCAGGTGTTTACTGTCACAGATCCCTCGTGCTCTCTGAAACAAAGATTTACCCACGGTAGCTAACTGTGAAGGATGGTGGTGAGAATCACCGTTATAATATCTATCTGTATGGGTCTTTTTTTCTATACACAGTATGGCTCAAGGTATTATCAGGATTCCGAATTACTAACACATCTAGAAAAGCTAAGGAATTGTTTGCCTCTAACTCAATTGTGAACTGAATTTTAGAATTTATAGAGTTAAGATGGTTTAAAAATGCAGTTACTTTATCTAAAGGTAGAATTGTGAAAGTGTCGTCTACGTACCGCTTGTAGAATTTTGATTTATGGGAGAACTAAGCAGGGCTTTCTCCTCAAAGTCTTCCATGAATATGTCGGCGACAATGGGAGACACAGGTGAGCCCATCGCCACACCATATACTTGCTTGTAGAACTCCTCCTTCCACAATAGGTAGCCAGATGTAAGGCAGTGTCTGAGTAATACTGCATATTCTACGGGCATGTTGTTTTCTTCCAGCCTTCTAGTTACAATTGAGATGCAGTCTTCAACAGGTAAGCATGTAAACAATGACTGCACATCAAAACTGACCATAGTTTCATTGTCTGCCAGATGTAGGTCTTTAATCTCGCTGACAAAATGGTAGGAATCCTTTATGTGTGCTCTTGTATGTCCCCTGAGCGGTGAGAGTATTTTCGCTAAGTGTTGAGCTAATCTGTAAGTTGGTGAATCGATTTGGCATGGACGTTGGGTTGTGTATTTTGGACTTTTGGCTTATCTTTTTTGGAGGTTTCTTTATGAGGTCACTAGTTGTTTTTAGTGTGCTATTTGTTGGGTCGTTTTTAACATTTTTATAAGTACTTACCTCCGACAAAAGTTCTTGTATTTTAGAATTATAATCTGACGTATCCATGACTACCGTGGCGTTTCCCTTATCTGCGCGGAGAATCGTAAGTTCTGGTTTATTGCGTAGGTTCTTTAACGCTATAAATTCGTCTTTGGGAAGATTCGGTTTAGGCACTGAACATCGACGTAACATAGACGAAATGTCTTGACGTATCGCCTCCAAATCTTCTTTCCGCATACTGTTTTTAAATAAACAGTCCTCGACACTACAGATAATTTCTTCGTACGGTAATTTGCGTATATAAAACTGGCTGCCGAGCTCCACCATGTCAAGCAAGTTTTGCATGACAACAAGCTTCGAGTCCCGCGCCTACGTCACAGTGAACGAGTGAAGCCGGCCACAGTCGAGCGTGTACCTGCTGTACTGCCATATGTTAGAGGAGTCACTGACAAGATTGGCTATATCTTGAAGCGCGCTTCCATCAAAACATACTTCAAGCCGCTGAAGAAGATTGGTCAGTTTTTACCATCAGTCAAGTGTAATGTCCCTCTGCAAGATGCAGGAGTGTACAAGCTTGATTGTGAATGTGGTCTCTCCTACATAGGACAAACTAAAAGATCAATAAAAACCCGCGTTAAAGAACATATAGCTGATGTGAAGAATCGACGCTCCGGGAAGTCTGCAGTCTGTGAACACGTACAGGATCGCCCCCGTCACTACATCAGATTTGATAGACCGCATATCCTCGCTAAAGAACACCGATTCCTTCCAAGGATGATTCGCGAGGCTATTGAAATCAAAAAACATCCTAATTTCAATAGAGAAGATGGCTGGGTGCTACCATCTGCTTGGGATCCTATAATAAATAAAATTAAATCCCAACCCAAGCATACAACTGCAAGACTTCAAGATACCATAAGTTCATACTGCATAGATCGGTACAAAAGTTAAATTTTAATCTATGGTAACCGCTGTTAACTATGACATATGGACGCTGAACATCTCAGTCCCGCCCGTGACCATGAGTGCTGTAAAGCGTTCGAAACGTCGGGTATTTAAAAAGTTAAATATACGCGATAAATTCCGTAAAAACTAGTATTATTTCAATGTTTCCCAATACAGCTATTAATACTCCTCCGCCGTCCATTTTAGTGGATTTGGAACATACACGGTCCCTACGATAAACCTTATATCTGGAATCGAAAATTTCACTGCTAGCAACATCCAGATTTAACCAAGTCTCCGTAAACACTATGACGTCGTAATTATTTACCAAAATGTTTTTAATACGTGAGTTATTAGGATCTATGTTGAGAAGAGGTTATCGAATCAAGACACTCAATATTTCGAATCAGGATGGCTGGGCTGTACTCATTTCTGCGTAAAAAGACGCGTCCATTACGAACCCATACGAATTTGAAATCTTCTTTCTTGGCCTTGAGGCGAGCTGCTGCGTGCAGGGACTTGATAGCTGGTGGTAAGACAAAGACCTCAGAGACAAACACAGGTTTTGGCGGACCCGCCATACCAAGATGTTGGGTTGACAGTTTTTCCTTTGGGTTACTTTTGTTAAATTTGGCAACAGCAGCCAACATGGCGTCTCGATGTCGGGGGGCTGCGGAGCTTAGCAATAACCATGCGAGGCCGGTCACTGTCCTTGTTTAGCTTAGCAACTCGGGTTACATGATGAATATCTTCATTTCCAATATGGCAGTCAACGGTTTTTGCTATTTGGGTTAAAAAGGTTGAAAATTTTCCGTTTTATGTTCTGGTACGCCATTTATTTCCAAATTCGACTCTCTCATATTCTGCTCCGCCAGATTGAGTTTTTGGGACAATGCTTTGACACTTGATTGGAGCGTTTCGTTGTCTTTTTGCAGCCCTGTTATAATAGGCGACTTTTCCTGTAATTCAGCCCTCATTTCCCCATATTGCCTGTTAAAGTAAGCAATGGACTCACTAAATTCCGTTATGCGCTCATTTATCGTTTGAAGTTATACAGTTACCAATTTTTTTATTTTTACTTCGATCATGCATGACAATTCCTCACTAAGTATTCGCCGCAGTGAATCCTCCGTCACATAACGGTCATCAACTGGAACAGCCTGTGATTGCTGGCGAGCTCTGATGGTAACTTTGCTGGCTTCACATGATGCTTCATCAAGTACGCTGACGTTACTGCGGCCCGGCTGAGTGGATTGAAGTGGTTGGCGCAACGGTGAGTTCGTGTTATCAGTTTTTGGTTGCTTACTATGACATTCAGGACATTTCCAGCTGTGTCTTATTTCTTGGTTCATCAGATTAAATCTTTTTAAACCAACATTAGCACATAAAAGGTCATATTTAGATAAGCAAGCGGAGCACACCAGAACTCTCTAGTAGTTATGTTGTGGCGGCATCCAGAGCATTTATTTCCACCCATAGTAAGCAAGGCTTCAAGATGCGCTTGAAAGTTGCGGATGAATAAGGCATTAGCGATAAAAGCGCTGTGCCGTACGTCACGTACACTGTGCGATGCGTATGTGTGCGTAGATGCGAGATGGCTACGAGTTGCCCTAGGTCAGGGACGGCACTAAGCAAACGATTATTTTTAAAATGTTTATTTCTATTACTCACAATCTAGGTGGAATTTCACTTGTCCAATGGTGTTATTACAAAGCTTACACTTTATGCTATCGAAACGTATATAGAATCACGGTTAAACTTTAATTCTTACACTGATTTTGAATAAAAAATTGAGGAGCAGATTAAATACGTGTCGTTACTTTTCGCGGAGCATATAGTTAACGTTAAGTTAAGTTTATGTCCGAAAAAGTACGTAGACCAAACCTTTGACTTTTTAACCTTTTTGTACAATTGTATTTATATGTTTTGTCACAGCCAGCTTCTTGTCAAGGGTACCAATTAGTATTTTATTTATTTGTTTCATCTTTTTTACACACCTTATAATGAGGGATATAAAATGCCGACTTATTGTCTTATGACATTCTCTACCATTTAACCCTAGACGATTTGAGAAAGAGAATTTTTCTTAGTGGGTTTTACGATATATTTTAACTTTATAGCACGATCGATCTGAATTACAAAATTCACCCAAATTGAAACAAAATTTGCCAAAATTGATTCTGATTCAAATGTTTTTAAGTTCCGTTGCCGAACACTTCGTCCGTAGCAGGTCTTCCTTTAGTTGGTAACCTAAATTAATATTTATCGAAAACGTTAATCAATTTCATTAAAATGATGAATTTTATGGAACCATAGATAAAACGAGTATATCGATAAGGCTGTTCTTTTATATAGCTATCATCACTAGAATTGTCTATGGTTCATAAAAAAGCTAAAAAAACGTCTACAACTTTGTAAAGGGGAAATGGTGACATTCATATAACTATCTTTTTATCCTTTCTTAGGTTTTGTTCTGTTTTTAAGACTCTCTCTATGCTAGTAATTACTCTGAGAAAATAACTTACTGTATCAACAATTGTTACAAGTCACAGTTAGCCGGTCACATCCCACTGCTGGGCAAGGCCAATGTCCAAGGCCTCCCCCCTGTATAACAAGTTATTTTTTATAGTTCATGATCATGCTCAATACGACTCCCTCTGTTCCCTACTCAAAAAATGTATTCTTTTTCTTAATTCCGTTTTTACTACTTTACTTGTTAAAGTTGTCTTAATTTCATTCGCCGCACTGAAAATTCGCTGCCTCAGCTCCTGAATCTGTGGATACAGGAGACATCGTAAAGTAAAGATTTCATATGACCCCAAACGTAATAGTCCATCGGCGTCGAGTTAGGACTCTATCCAAATATATATATATATATATCCAAATAATTTCTTAAAAAATATTCATAGCTTTACCATTTAAATTATCAGGTAAAAAATAGGTAAGGTCTTATCGTAACTAATAAACCTAGTTCTATTCGTCCAGGATTTTCAGTAGTAGTCACCGAAACATACCTTCAAGTCACTCCATAAATTCGGAGAAAAGGGTAACAGTCGTAGAGCCACGCGGCGGCTTTGCTGTTGCACATATGGGCCGGCTCAAACCGGGGTGGTACCACGACCTCACAGAATACCGGCATGAAGTAGTAGAGCCATGTAGCAGTTATATTAGTAGTATAGTCATAGCACGAATGGGTCGGCTCGACCGGGGAAGGACCACGCTCTCACAGAATACCAACTTGAAATAGTAGCGTAATGCTGCTGTGTTTCGTATAGTGTGTAGAGAACCGGAGACCCTTTTTGCTGGAAACGAGGCATTCCATCTTAGTCCTCACGGGTGACAACGCATCTGCATTTTGAATCGCATACGAGGATAGATGTAGGTATCTACTTACCATCAGGTGGACTGTGTGCTCGTTTGTCACCCATTCCGATAAAAAAAGCTCTGCTACGCGTTTCGTCTGGTGAGTGTAGGTGGCCGGAGGCCCAATTCCCCCCTCCCCACCCCCCTCTCAAAAATGGTAGCGGAATTAAGTAAAGATCTACCCCAGGAGGGTACCAGCACCCCTGGAGCATCCCTCGCTGAGCATCCAAGACCAAGTTAATTCACTACTGAACGTGGGTATTCAGGCTGCACCGCGTAATCGGGGGGGGGGGGGGGGGAGGCAAAATTCCAACAACTGCTCGGGGCAAACTGAGCAAGAAGACCAAGGCGACCCCTGCCACGCTATCCGTGAATTTCTGCAATATCAGGGGACTTCACTCTAACCTAAACGCCGTCCACTGCCATATCGAGACGGCGAGACCGGCTCTGCTCTTTCTGAACGAGACACAGGTGTCCTCTCCAGCTGATACTTCGTATCTCTCCTACCCGGGGTAAAAACTGGAATACTTCAGACAGTTGTCTTGTCAGAGAGGACATCTGTTCTCGACGCTTAGGCAGTCTTGAAGGTTCGGACCTGTCCATCCTTTGGTTTTATTTTATTTATTTATTTATGCTTTATTTGCACACCGAGTACAAAAAGGCGGACTTAATGCAACAAGGCATTCTCTATCAGTCTACCTCCAGGCTAAGCAGAGAAGATATTGTGGGTGCAAAGTGCAACTGAGTTAAAATATCTTTAAGTAGTCATATACATTACATATTGCATTACATGTTATAAACATAATTATACACATATATTATTATATAGATATACATACAAGATATATAAATATATACAAATATGTGCTTAATGCTGCCCTAATATATATATATACAGTACATACATAATTAAATATAGCTGTTTCTGATTCAAACACCTACTCGTATAACATATTTAAAACAAAAAAGAGGAAAAGGGAACAGTTAGAATTTAAGGATATAAAAATGTTAATCGACAAACTACTCCTGCAACGCCAGAAAATGATTCCATAGCAAGCGTTTGCACGATGCCTTGTTCGTGGCTGCACGTACACTGTTCGGTAGCTCGTTCCACAATCTTACCGCGTGAGACGTAAAAGATTTATACAAGAAGCTAGTGTGACAGAGGGGGACGTGGAGATTAGACTTTTCCGCAGAACGGAGACAACGATTATGAGAATCACAAATGCAAACGGATCGTGTAAAACTGAAAATAATGTGCACAGTGTTCTGAAATATCTACGACAGCGGAGAGGTAGCCATTTAAGCTGAGAACGATAAGAGGAGATGTGGTCGTATTTCCGTAAACCGAAAATGAAGCGTATACAATTATTAAGAAGTCGAGCCAGTTTGTTTAGAAGTTCCTGAGAGGCATCAGCGTAGCAAACATCTGCATAATCTAAAATAGGCAACACTAGGGTCTTTATTAGCATCGCCTTAGTCCGCCAACTGAGGGTGTTGTCAATAACTAAGCCAAGATCTTTAACAGTTGTTGAGTAAGGAATAGTAACATTATTAAAAATTATAGGAGGTAGCGCCTTCATCGATCTTCATCGATTTTAACGCCCATCACGCCGAATAGCTTGGTTCACGTTTAACCGATCATGCGGGGAGATCTGTTCATGATTTTGCCTTGGCATATGGTCTGACACAACTGGTTACTTCGCTTACGCAGATTCCAGATGTGGAGGATCATGCACCTTCCCCGTTGGACCTTCTGATGACCTCTCACCCGGACGGATATCGGATTTCCGTCGACGCCCCTTTAGGCTCCTCGGACCATTGTCATGTCCGGAGTGTGGTGCCACTCACGCTAAAATCGCAGGTGCATTCTGCAGGCTGCCGCCGTGTTTGGCACTATAGGTCAGCCGATTGGGATAGGATGCGATCTTTCTTTGCATTCTACCCTTGGGGGCGGGTTTGCTTCTCGCCGGACGATCCCAGCGTTGTGCGGATTCTGTCGCTGATGTGGTACTTCAAGGTATGGAACTTTTTATTCATTCCTCTGTGGTGCCCATCGGAGGCATATCTCAGCATGGTTTTGTTGCTCCTGTAAAATAGCATCATGCTATAAGCAGGAGTGCTACCAAGCCTGGGTCGACGTATCAACGTTCCGGGATGTAAACACTAGCGCTCTAAAAAAGAAGTATAATTCTGCCTCCAGGTCCTTCAAAAGAGTCATTTCTAAGGCAAAGTCAGAGCACATAGGCAGAATTGGCGAGAAACTACACAGGGAGGACGATTCACTGGCCCATGCCGCAAAGGAGAAAGCCGATCTGCTAGGCTCTTTCTTTGCGTGCAACTCGACTCTCGATGACGGGGGGAGTACGCCGCTGACCAAACCACAGCGTGAGTGCTCCATGCCGGAGGTGCGACTTACACAGCGCTTGGTTCGCAAAACACTGCTCTCCCTGGACATCCACAAGTCGAGTGGGCCTGACGGTATCCCCCCAATTGTGCTGAGGACGTGTGCTCCAGAGTTGACACCGGTCTTAACGCGACTTTTCCGGTACTCCTACTCTCTTGGCGTAGTCCCAAAATCATGGTAGACGGCTTTTGTCCACCCAATCCTAAAAAGAGGCGACCGCTCAGACCCGTCCAACTACAGGCCCATCGCCATCACCACCTTGTTCTCCAAAACAATGGAATCCATTGTAAACTGCCAGCTCATGAGGTACCTTGAGAATCACCAGCTGATTAGAGATTGCCAATACGGTTTTCGTCGTGGTCGATCAGCTGGTGATCTTCTGGTCTACCTGACTCATAGATGGGCGGCGGCAGTAGAGTCCAAGGGGGAAGCATTGACCGTTAAATGGACATTGCGAAGACATCGATCGAGTTTGGCCCAAAGCGCTTCTTTCGAAGCTCCCTTCCTATGGGCTTCCCGAGAAATTGTGCAATTGGAGCACCAGCTTTCTTGCAGATCGGAGCATCAAGGTCGTTGTAGACG